CTTTTTGCCGGGGTGTCGTCCCCCCCCCCCCCGCCCCCACCCTCTTTTTTTGGTCTTCTTTAAATGTTTGGACAAATAACGGACCTGTTTTGTCAGCCGCTGCTTGTCGCAAAGTTGTGCTAGTGCAACTATATCTTCAGCCACAATCTTGACATCATACGAAACTACAGTTATGTCAACGACTAGATGAGCAAATACGGTCATCCTGTCATCACGTAATCAAGCAACTCACCGCGAACTGCAGTTGCCAAACTGCCTGTGTAAATAAGGTTGCCGTCTTCAGATTGGGCCCCGGTAGAGAGAAAAGACGATGGAGTGTGAGACAGCGCCTGCAAAAAAAAACAAACAAGATTCACTACTCCTATTTATCAACCATCATCCATCCGTTTTTTTTTTTAACACGGCGCGTGTCCTGCTGAGGGCTCGCCGGCTTTTGACGTTGACAAAACTGTTGACACTGCTCTGTCAATCAAAGAAAAACCCACAATGGCCACTGACAAAAGTAATAAAAGTGTGCTGAAAATGTCTTTGACGTGCCACATCCGACCCTGAGCAGAGCACTAAAGTCAATACCAGGCAAGTCAAATAAATATGGCAAGAATGAGCCCGGCTGCTGATGCTTGCGATGCTCTTTGGAAAGTATGACTCGACTACACTCGCGTTGGAAGAACATTGGCTGAAGGTCAACGTCACTCGCAATGATCCTGCTTTGGGGTGGCATCGAACACAAAGAAGCCTTGCCTTCCCAATGCGCTGGTGGAGGAGCAACTCTGCACATGACGCTGCATTCCAATGTACACAAGAACAGTTCATGCTTTTAAAAACCAATTGAATGGGTTAAGAATGTTTTTATTAATATTGACCAATGTGAAATACTTTAATTGTGATACACTTTTTAGTCTTTTCGCCCAGCCTTATATGTATGTATATAGAGGGGTCAATTTGGAGTGCCCAATCAACCGACCGTGCATGCTTATGGAATGTGGGAGGAAACCGGAGTACCCAGAAAAAAGCCACGCAGGCACGGGGCGAACAAGCAAACACCACACGGGAAGGCCGAGGTCCGGAATTGAACCCGTGACTTCTGCACTGTGAGGCAGATGTGCTAACCAGTCTCCACTGTGATGCCCAAACTCAACAGCAATTGATCAATATATTGGTTGGTATCATCGGAGAAGTCTAAAAGTAAACATGAACAGGAAAATAAATGTGATGCTGGCCTCCCACTCCACACAAAATTCTGGGTCAATAGTCTGTTGCGTTTGTGCTACCTGTTAACTCATAAAAGTTTACAATTTTCTGACTAATCATCAAATCATCTATGGGTGTCGGACAAAACAACCTCTTGTTGCCGGCGGGTGTCGGCGCATCTTACATCTTAAGTGTTAAGATGGAGCTATGGAGATAGAGCTAAACTGAGAAGTTATTTCTGAAGCAAACGGTTTTGTATGTGTGTGTTTTTTTTTACCATGCGCGACGGCATTAAAGCGAGGCGTGATAACGCGGCCTCGGTTGGACTTCGTTGATTTCAAACGCGTTTGTAGATGGCTAACATTCAGCGATGCTATTGGCACGCGCTTCCTTTCTATTTCTTGATATTGTTCGGTGTCCAAGTGAGTGTTTAAGTTTACCAAGCACCGGTCTAGCGGCGAGTCCATTAGCTATTGCTATTAAGTTCTTGATGTGTGCCTGTCGGTACCTTGGGTTTCAGGAAAAGAGGTGACCTTTTAACAGCATGGAGATGATTTCCCCTCGGCCGGCCAAAACCAGACGCGCCCCAAAGGGCACCGCGTCGCGCGGAAGCAATACACGTGGTATTGATGGAGTTCGAAATCAAACAAACTCGCGCCCTTAATATGCGATAAAGAAAGAGCATTTTGCTTGGCCGAAATGTGGCTTCAGAAGCTCCGAATGCTAACAACTTCCGCCCGCCGTCTTCTTCTACGCCAATTTCTTCTCGTTTGCGACATCGACGCTGACGTCATATTGAGCGTCCGGAGCATAGATGTAGAGCGACTAGAGAAAGCCTCGGCTGGTTGACGACGTGCACGTCGGGGCGCCTTCTTGAAGCGGGAGTCCACCTCTTCCGATCGCTTGTCAACTGCTGTTGGGCTCGGACAAATTAATCAGAACGCGTCGAATTGTGCCTCGGTTGGTTTGTTACAAGCACCAAACGCGCGGCTAATTTTAGAATCGAAGCTTTCCTTCCCACTCGACCGTTTCCAGTCTCGGAACGGAAGTCCCGAGGCACGAAGACGCCGTAGGACGCCGCAGCCAGGCTGAGGCCAGCCTCCCTTCCACGCGCCAAGTCCCAAGTCGAGCCAGCGAGCGACGTTGCCCACCTTCGAAATAAAAGCTACCCATAAAAGCTGCCCAAATCGCGCATGCCGGTCAGGGGATTGCATTGAAAAGGTTACACGATTACTCCTCTGCGGTTAGCACACCACGAGCTCACCCGGGGAGAATGCAAATGGTCTCCGTGGCTCGGAGCATCGATAACTTCTCTTGGCTCTTTTAAAATCGACAGCGGGTGTGTTGCGACATTTTATTCAAGCGCTCTGAGATCATGCTAGTTTAGTAAGCCATGATCTGGCCTTTTGCCTTTCTTTGAAGCAAAGTTTGTAATTCCCCATTGAAGCCACGAGAGGGTGGCACAACGCTACCTTTGTCCAAATTGAAGCTGCATTTCAACTTAGTTCCCTGTCACCAAGATGCCAAAAGATGGAATCTGAGAGCACAAAGACGGCAAAAAGGACAGCAAATATTTTTGATGCGGATAACCGCGGATGGGTAAAAAAAAAGTACCTATATGCGGGTGACAAACCCCAAACATGCGGAGTGTACTGCATTCCAACACATAAGGACCTAAAACATGCCTCCACGTCCACTACTGTCTTGCTAAAGAAGCTGAGGGGAAAGGTCAGGGATTGGCCTGGTTCGGGCCTCCGGTCCGGACCTGTCCCCTATTGAGCAATTCCAGTAGCTCTGTGACGTCGTCATGGAAGTTTTGAAGAGGATTCCGCTAGCAACCTGTGACGCTCTAGGGAAGTCCACCTCCGAAAGGGCGAAGTTAGTCCTGAAGCGCATCCGTCCATTCTCTGTACTTGGTCGGCGTAAATCGCGACCGGTAATCGAGAGAGCCGTTTTCACAGAGCCCGCCCCCCCCACCCCCCACACCAAGTGCTTCACGTAGTTCAAGAATACTTTGCTATCTACTTGGGCGATTGGTTAAGGCGGTGCATCAGGCAGAGTGCAAAGCTAACTCCCGAAAGTAGCTTTGCCTCACAGCAGCTTCACTTCTGTCAAAATGACACTTGATGCTTCCTTCGACCTTTGTGTGCACGTTTATTTCCGGCCCACGTGCAGTTACGGCTGCAAGCTACATGTCGGCGCAAGAAAACGCCGCAGCAGACCGTTTGTTGCGCTCGATTTGATGGCTTTGGTTTCCGGGCATGATCTGATACTTAATGTTGGCGGCAAGTTTCAAGTCGTTATGCAAGACCAAACATGGTAGCCGATTATCTTTTTTTTTTCTCTGCGCTATGAAACCACCCAGCAGCGACTGCTGCAGAGTGGAAATCACAATTGAGGCAAGGTGCGAAATGAAATGACTTCCTCCTCACGCCGTGAGCCCGCTTACCGCTCGAAGGGACCCGGAGGAGTTCTCCACTCGTCTTCTTTCCGACAGCCGCACTTTCTGTTTTCTCAGCTTGTGTCCCTGAACTTGACTCCTTGGGAAATGATCTGTAGATCATCCGAAGTGGAAGCGATTGGGGCCGTTCAGAATAATCCCTCCCCGCCCCCACGCCCTGATTCTGACCTGTGACCGGACTGGTCAGTCATTCAGAAGGAGAAACACACAGCTTCTACAGGCAATTGGGTGATGTTCAACCCGACGAAAGCAAACTCCATCCCACGTTGTGGTCGTTGGAAACCGTTGTGAGATTTATTATTATCCACGTTTTGCTCGTAGTGGCCGAGAACGTGTAAAAACGCAGAACTGTGTCGATGTGGTGTGGAACCGGTTTTGGAGCGTTGACAAGACCTTTTGAGGAGAATTTTGTCTGTCTCATCTGAAAAGACGCCCATGCCGTGGAGGTGAGCGATATTTTTCCATCTGTGATCATGATGTAGCTGAGTTCTCATTTTTTGATGAGTCCATAAACAACGTTGGCAAAGCTATGGGAACGCATTGTTTGATAGCGCGTCAGTATTTGGGGAAAAATGTTTCTTCTTCTTCCTCTTCTTCTCTTTGCAAGTTAAGAAAAGAGGGAACATAGCAAAGGTTTCATCATCGTCGTGGCCAGTTATCAAAATGGGCACGGTCTGACTTTTGTAAGTGGTCCAAAGCAGGTTCCAAACGATTCGCAACACGTTTGTTTTTGAAGTCAACAGGGGCGTGGGGTGGGAGGGTCACTCCACACCCCGCCGCTGTGGGAAAGCGCCACGGAATGCTGACGAAACCCGTCGAGAGCTCACCTGAGCGAGCGAGAGGCGCGGCGACGCACAAGCCCTCCGAGCGGAACTCGGTGAAGGACGCGGACGGAGCTCCCAACTCCCGGACCGATCCCGCCATGCTCGGGTCGGGCGCGCGCCTCTCCTCCTTGCTGCTCCTGCTTTGTGTGTCCGGCTCGGGGGCGTGCGGGCCTCAACGGGCCCCGCCGCCGACGCTCGGCGTGGATGGTCTGAGGCTCCAGCTGGTGGAGGCGCTCAAGACGGGAATCCTCAGCGCGCTGGGCATGGCCAAGGAACCCGAGCTCACCCAAAAGGCATCCCGGCGAGAGTTGAGGAGGACGTATCGGCTGTACCGGGAGTTGAGAAGAAACGTCAGCCGGCCGACGGGAGTCGCCGCGTCGACGCTGCTCTTTCCGGCTGCGGGTACGCCGGCTTGCCTTTGTGACTCACGCTCGTGAGTCACGAAGGAATGCGCGAGTGGGAGTAGAAAGGGAAACTTGGACGCGCGCGTCATTCATGAAATCTTTCCCTCATGGGAGTTGACCCGTAAAAAGAACTATCAGGAAAAGCCGACTAGAACACCCAAGGTGGATTTGGGCTCGTATCGGAGTTATTCACTTGTTCGTTTTTTTTACTACAGTACACCTAAAAGGAAAAAAAACACAAATTCAGTTGAGCTGTACAGACGAGGAATGGAGCGAAAAAAGGTTTTCACAAAAAGCTGACATTTGAAAAGGAGTGGCTCGACATTTTTTCTTGAATCTCCTGCGGCTCACATCTTATTACGCTATTTCTGTCGATCATGTTCCTTAGAGGGAAAAAAAATGTCGTCACGTGATGGCCGTATGTTGATGGAGTCGTTTTTCGTACTTAGACTCACACTTTGCTCTTTCCTTCTCTTGTGGGGCCAGTAAGAGCATCTCACGGGAAAGATGGCTTGCCACCCGGCCAACACACGCGGCGGTTCCGAGCTGCTTTCCAGAAGGATCGAAACGTCCCGCGCGAGGCCGTTCCTTCCCCAGCTGCTCTTCGGCTTCCAATACAAGCGACGCGAGTCCAGTCCCACATAAGGCGGCGGATCCAAATCAAGCACGCCAAGGCGCTCAACTCCAACGGACGGACGCGCGCGGCCCCTTGTGCCGATGCGTCAAACGAGCGAAACGTGACGATGGACGTGGGCGCGCGGTGGACGAGAAGGGCCGCCGCCGACACGTCGTCGGTGGCGCACGTAAGGACGGCCATGGCCGAAGGCGGCCCACGCGTCTCCCGGCAATTGGACTTCAGCGCCCCGGCGGCGAATCCTCGGCCCCGGCGTTCCGACGGGGACGAGGAGTGCAACCGACAAGGATGGTGCTGCCGTAAGTCGGTCAAGGTGTCGTTCGGAGACCTGGGCTGGACCGATTGGATCGTGGCCCCGACCGAGTACACCATGCACCTGTGCGACGGCGCCTGCCCGCACAACTACAAGCCGGCTAGCATGCACACCCAGCTCAAGTCTCGCCTGCACCAGATCACCAAGGGCGGCTCGCCTCGGCCGTGCTGCGTGCCGGCCTCCTACGAGCCCCTGGTCCTCATGTACTATGACGCCGGGGGCCAGTTGAAAGTGGCGCCTTTTAGTGACCTCATAGTCACCAAGTGTCACTGCGCCTAAGGCCGCCACCCAAACCAACGATGCGCTCTTTTGATCTTTCTTGGAAAGCCGTATTTATTCCAACTTGTATTTATTGTCCCACTCCGAAACTAGAGCAATGTCTCAAGTGGGCTGTTCTCACAGCATCTTTTTTTAAACATATGACACTCTGAAAACTACTGGGTCAAAAACAACCCAGATCGGGTTGAAACGGCGACGCCGGCACCAGAAGGGAGCGGGCCAATGCCGGTTTACTCATACCCAGCTCATCGGGTTGAGGATTTGACCCGGCGTGTTGGGTCAAGATTTTGATTCGTCCCTGGGTAAAAAATTCCCACGCTGTTTAGCGCCCAGGATGTTGATTACCTGGCCATCAGTAGAGCTGCGCTCCAAAAAACTGGGGCTGATTTTTATGAGCAACATTTTCCACATCGTGCAGTGACTTTGTGACAGCTCGAGATGAAGCCATTATGGTCGGTTGTGCACTCTGGACTGTAGACAAAGTGTTACCTAGCTTCGTAACATTTGAAGAAAACCTTATTGGAGTCGCAGCGACAGGTTGTGTGAAGCATATTGGTCATATTTATAAAAGATGTTTGATGTTTCACCACTGCAGTAAGAACTGTGAAATATGTCCGGTCAAAAAAATGGTCTTTATTTAACATTAAATAGAGAAAAAAAATGTATTACTGTATTGAGAAGTGAAGTCTAGGCAGATGCTGTATAAAAAAAAAAAAAACAAGTCGACCATTGATGCTCAATGAAATGGAGAAGTGAAGTCTAGGCAGATGCTGTATAAAAAAACAAAAACAAGTCGACCATTTATGCTCAATGAAATACAGAAATTGTTTTTCAGTCCAAAAGGCTGTCTTTATTCCATTTCGTTAAAACCCTAATCTTAAACATCACTGATAAAAAGGCACTTCCCAAAAATTGACAAAACCAGATGTCATTTTTATGTCAAGCCGAGTTGTCGGCATCTGCTGAAAGTAACTCATAAAGCAGTTTGGAATCCAACATTGTTCCGTAGGATGGCGCCCATCCGCGGCATCGAGAGTGCAGCGGCAACAAGCGTGAAGACGAGCGTTTGTGGCCGCGTGAGCTCTCGATGCTTTTCCGAGCAAGGTCGGCGTGACGCGGAGAGAGAAAGCTCGTGCTCGGGACGTCTGGTGCTATGACTCCGGGACAATATAAATGTCGTCTTCTGGGGATCGCGGGAGAATGGTCAGGTGACATGCCGGATCGTTGCTGTAGATCGCGTCGTTGGGTGAATCGCAACGTAAGTACAAATCCTCGGCTGGAACGCGAGGCGGCCTGTGGAGAAACAGTCGGCGGTCAAAATGCGCGCACCGAACTCACCCGTGCAAATAGGAGGTGGCGGGCCGTGCCGGGACCGCCACGCTCGCTTGCTTTACTACTTGAATAGATTTAACGGGAATCTGCGCTTGACTTGGAATTTCCAAACCATTTTTCACTATCACGCCTGCCAAATGGCCAAATTATTTTTTTGCCAATAATAAGCATTATACAGTCATACCTCGGTTTTCGACCATAATCCGTTCCAGAAGGCTAACCGAAACCACGTTCTTTAAAAAAAAAAAAAACTTTATTGAACACGTCCGCTCACAATGGAATGCTACACGAGGAAGGACTTCCTCGTGTAAGGAAAGCGAGAGGAGTCAAGTGGCGCATTCAATTGCGCTCAGTTTGGTCGAGAACCGATTTTCGGTCGTAATCCAAGGCATAAAAAACTCAAAATTTTTGGTCGAAAACCGATTTGGTCGAGAACAGAGACGTTCGAAAACCGAGGTTTGGCTGTAATTGATTTATTTGGGGGGGGGCGGGGGGGGAGTCTTTTCTTTTTACTTTTGCAGATGACAACATGATGAACAGTGACAAGTAAAGTGACCCGTGCTCGAGATTTTGATCGATGAAGCTCTTGGTTGAGTTCTCGGGGAGAGTTTATCAGTGGAAGCGGCGGGATCGGGATTGCCTTGTTATGAACTAAGGAGCTTTAATAACGGTAACGCAAAAATTTGGATTTCCTTTCCCTAGTTGCATTCTTAAAGCTCCAGCGGTGAGTCGCCGGCAAGAAGATCGGAAGATCACGTGCAGTCTAAATTGAGGTTTTTCTCTCGAACAGAAGGAAGTCAGATGGGGGAAATCACATCACATTCAATGTTTCTTCATCTGTTTCCGTTCCGTTTTGGGGACAAGGCTTCACTTTCATATGTCACACTTTCTGAATCCACACGATTGCGTAAGAAGAGAATGGCGCACCTGCTCTGCGGCCTGTCGCCACTCCGCTGCCCCGCCAAGTTTTCATAGATGGGGTTGTTCTCAGCCGGCTGCGTTCTGGACAGGCCGGCATACTGATGCTCCTTCTTCTGGCTTTTCTTGTGATCGGATGGAGGCGGATTCCATTTGTCCTTGCAGAATTTGCCCACGGTCGCAAGGGCGATGGCAATCAGCAGCAGAAAGAAGAGAGTCAGGCCCACGGCCAGACCTACGGGAGAGTTGGGGGCTGCACATGCGCTGCCATTTACAGGGACGCAAGTGGCATTCAGCTGCATGACCTGCAAATAAAGGTTTTATTTTTTAAATGAACACCGGATCAGACACTCCATAAGCTGCTAGAAAATCACAAATAATTGAACCTAACCAAATGCTCCTTTCATCATAGGCTGCTGGCTAAAGTTAACCCTCTGCTTTCCCTGGCGAGCACTTATTGTTTGTTGTTGTACAAATTATTTTTGCTCTATGTACAGCGCTTTGTGTACAGCAGTAGTGATGCTCTAGAAATACACTTGAGTTGAGTTTTCAGCAACAGATGCAGATGGAATTATAAATATAGTGACCCATGATCGTAATAACCATTGTATATGTACTGTAGGCTATGTATTGTATTGGTGGCGCTATATTATAAGAGCACCTTTATTCGTCTCACAATGGAGAAATTCGCAATTTACAGCAGCAACATTTTGAAGGGAAGGGAAGAAAGTAGAAAAACAAAGTATTTGCATGCACAAAATACATTTTAAAAATGAACTGAACACAGTACAGAATGCAATATAAATGTAAAATATAAGATATAGAAAGAGCGTATATCCAGCTGTCTCATGCCCTGCGATTGGCTCACATGAGACAAACTAATGATGGATTACGTGGTGAAAAAGACGCTCCAAAAGTCTCTTCCTGTTTACATCAGAGATGGACTGTCCCAAATGTGAACAGAACCCTCACCTAAAAACCAACTTAAGAGCTGAAATGTGATTTTGATCTTACTCTGCCTTCATTAGCCAACCGACATGAATGGTGTCACCCATCGATAACATTGAAAACACGATCGAAAAGAACATCAAGACAAGATCTGTATTTTCCAACATCTTTTTTCATTCTAAATTGTCTTGTTCCATGCTTACAACCTTTTTCTTTTACGGTCCTAGTGCTGGCATACCAAACATCAAGTAGAGAGCAGCAGACATTTTGTTTTCTTAGCCTAGCAATTGAAAATAATCAACCACCTTACCGCTCAGGGCACCAAAGTCGAGAGTTGTCTGAAAAGTCAAGCAGCTTGTGCTTGTGTGTCAACCCTTGACACTTGCAACACAAGAGTTCCTCTTTTCTTATGTCATGAAGAAGAAGTTCGAATCAGACTTCCTGTAAGAGGTCTTGACGAAAATACCATGATCATTCCATATCATGCAAGATGCTTGCTGTAGCATATGGCCGTTTACCATACTGTTGTGTCCGAAAAACGTGAGGATACGACTCTTGCACTTAGGCCATTTTGGTGCCTGTCTCGTCGCGTATGGTAGGTACATATACCATGATCATTCCATATCATGCAAGATGCTTGCACTTAGGCCCTTTTGGTGCCTGTCTCGTCGCGTTTGGTGCAGTTTTCACGAGTCGCGCGTATGATGCTACTCATTAGAATGCCTCAAGGGGAAACGTTTGAAGGAATAGGATAAGGAGTCTTTTCGCCCCCCAATAAAATGAGTTTTTGAATGGGACGATTGATGGCTCGAGTGGGAGAATGTGCTTGATTTTATTGCAGCGTCACGTTCCATATCTGGCAACACAGCTCATCATCACACGATTAAAAAGGACAAAATTGTGAGGATGGATGGGGAAATTCTCGCTCTCTCCACGAGGTGGCACTGCCACTGCAATGAAACATCAGTTGAGTTCGTTCTTGTCTGACTATCCTGAAATCTGATCAATTTTGAGGAGATTGGATCGTCTGAGTCAAGTTGCAGCTCTTTGCCAGTCCAAGTGCTATAGAGGAGAATGGCTGCGAGACAGAGGGCCCTGATTTTGAGGCATTGTCATGTGGTGAATGAAAAGGTTTTGAACCTCCCATTGTCTCTCAACCACCAGCGACACGATGCCTTCCGACAATTGGAAAGATAATAGGATCACGTTCCAGGCCTTCACGTGCCTGTCAATGAGCGCTTGGTTGCGCTTCGTGGACGCCGTCCATTTCGACGATAGATGCCAAGAAAACATGCCAATATGGCATCAAAATGTGGAAGGAGGACTTTTCGGGAGCGGCTGGGTAATGCACCGGTGAAACCTCAGATGGAGAGCAGACGATGTCTTCCAAGAGGATCGGCAGCTGCTGCAGCCATTGTGAGGCACATACACATGGGGACAAACACCCCAACTCCTCCCTTGGTACAAACCACGGGCAAGAAACGTGGCAAGCATCTCATGCACACAGAATCCCCAACCCACCGCAAAAACAAAACAAAAAAAAACTGCCACTGCCAGTCTCAAACCCTGATAACTAAAGAGGAAGGGTGAGTGAGACTTTATGAGTGAGACAAATATGTGACCCCAAACACAGGAGATCAAAATAAGTAAACGTGTTCATGAGGGGAGAGGAGGGTCCCAACATGAATCAATCTGCTTTGTTTTGTGGGTGTCATGAATGCACACCCCAAATTAGAAATCAACATACCCTAAGTCTAAAACTAAAAGTTTGACCTGATGTTGGCGCTACAGGAAAGGTCATCTCCTCATCAAAGCCATTTGGTTTCACACACATAGTCATACCTCGGTTTTTGACCATAATTCGTTTCAGAAGGCTGTTAGAAAACCAATTTGTTCGAATACCGAAACCACACTCTTTTTTTTAAAAAAGTCTTTATTGAACACGTCTGCTCACAACGGAACGCTACACGAGGAAGCGTCACTTCCTCGTGTAAGGAAAGCGAGAGGAGTCAAGTGGCGCATTCAATTGCGCTCAGTTTGGTCGAGAACCGATTTTCGGTCGTAATCCAAGGCATAAAAAACTCAAAATTTTTGGTCGAAAACCGATTTGGTCGAGAACAGAGACGTTCGAAAACCGAGGTTTGGCTGTAATTGATTTATTTGGGGGGGGGGCGGGGGGGGGGTCTTTTCTTTTTACTTTTGCAGATGACAACATGATGAACAGTGACAAGTAAAGTGACCCGTGCTCGAGATTTTGATCGATGAAGCTCTTGGTTGAGTTCTCGGGGAGAGTTTATCAGTGGAAGCGGCGGGATCGGGATTGCCTTGTTATGAACTAAGGAGCTTTAATAACGGTAACGCAAAAATTTGGATTTCCTTTCCCTAGTTGCATTCTTAAAGCTCCAGCGGTGAGTCGCCGGCAAGAAGATCGGAAGATCACGTGCAGTCTAAATTGAGGTTTTTC